AAGAAATTTCAATCGTTGTACTGTTGATATTTGGCTCTGTTGACTAATGAGTTTGCCGACCACTGTCCTAAACCCTTCCTTGTTTCACTGTCCCCAGCTTTAATAAAGGTACTCTCAAAAAATAAAAAAATAAAAGAGTAAGGTCAAGATCATCTATCACAGCAGTTATCATAAGTAGTTTAAACATTTCTAAAAGATGAAAAAGGCTCACATTGGATTTTTAAAATCTACAGTTGTTGAATCTGAGTTCTTTATACCATTCTCTCTCTACCTATGTTTGAAATAATTCTATAATAAGATGTCATTAATGCTGTTTGTATCCAGACCTATAAAAAGAGTAAAACATTATGTACATGTAAAAGCATTTTATAAAGTTTACTTAATTTATCACTGCTGTATTTTTTTATAGGGGCAATAACCATGGCTTTGTTGGAAAACCTAGTGGCAGGAAATGTGTACATTGTCAAGATATCGGCATCCAATGAGGTGGGGGAAGGACCCTTTTCGAATTCTGTGGAGCTGGCAGTGCTTCCAAAGGAAACTTCTGAGTCAAATCAGAGGCCCAAGCGTTTAGATTCTGCTGATGCCAAAGGTCTGTATGTGTCACAATCGCTGATTTTTCTTAAGAGAAGAACATGCAGATCTGTTTCTCAGCTCCCTGCACTTTATCTCCCGCCTGCAATGGCCATGTCCCGAAGCCTGCACGCAGTTTCTTTGCTTGTTGCCAGGGAGGGTCTGAGGCTGTGGAGCGGTGTGGCTCTTCTCTGCACTCCTAGAAGCAGAAGACAAACTTACTCAGAATTAGCTGCAGTTTTCAGACCACTGTGTCCCAGTTAGTTCTCTTCCCAGCTGTTCAACCACCAGGACAGAGGAGCCACACCACCCTGACCTCATGGGAGTAGCTTCCTGGGAGGTTTCGTGGAAGTAAACAGCAGTGGTGGTGTGGTGTTCAAGCTCTGAAGAGCAGGGTTTCCATTAAGAATTTTCACCACGAAACACAGCCTTTCCCGAGAGAAAGTTGTTTCTCTCAAGAAAAATGATTGGGAAAAATATCTTGAGAAATCTACCTTCTCCACTTCCCTCTCCTCCTCCCTGGTGAAGTGGGCCTATGTGTTGTGGGGGTGGGGAGAGGGTGGGGGCAGCTTCATATGGCAGAGAGGGGTGGGGAGAGAGAG